TTAGGGACTCATTCTCATTCTCAGGTAACAATTGGACTGCAGCTAAAATTGGAACCAAAAAGTACAAGTGTTTAACAATTATTGTTTATGTCTGCCATTTGCGAATGAAATTCATACGATCAAATTTAACACAAAGTCTTACCTAAATTATCTTGAAATAGAAAAGATTCTTCAGGTTGCCCTGTGCTCCCTTGTGAGGAGAATTCACTGCATAAAAGGTTTTTATCATCAGACTTCGATTTAGATACGGCCGCGACCACTTCGGGTTCACCTTCACGCCGCGCAACTTTACGCTTAACAATCTTGGTTGGATTTAGAGCATTTAGGCCTCTTTTCGCCGCTCTTTTTTCGCGTTCTGCACCTTTCGTTGAGTGTTTTTTTATGTAGGAATGACCCATGTTGACAGTAGGAGCCCAGTCTATGTTTGATTTGTCTTCCAGCGTGGCTGGCTTTCCTTCGGATAAATTTGACAAAACCACATCACAAAAAAAACTGATACAAACTCTAATTGAAACATCGAGTTGTTTCCCGATAATTTACCTGACACGAAATGAGCACTGCATACTCTAGTTCCATCGATTTTCTTTTCTGTGAGATCTTTCCTGTCTCTATTGATGTTTTTCAGCCACTGTTCTCTCCTTTCGGTGCTAAGTTTTTGCGTTTGCTCTCCTTGATGTCTAATTATCTTCGGAATTCTGTAAAAACTATACTCAATGTCCCTGATATTGTTGTGCCCACAATTATATACAGCACAGAGAGTTGGCATTTTAAAAAAATTACAATAACAATGAATATAAAGACGACTTTCAGTTTCACAAAAGAAGGCACGCGCAACTGAGCGCTCACTTTCCCGCGATTGTATATCTTCCAACATGGCCGACTTCCGGTTTTAAGTGTGATCGCTCTAGAGGAAGTGACGTCAATTGCAAACGAAGAATAGATTGTGGTTGACCTTACCTCTGGCAATAGCAGGGATTCAGGATAGAACACGATTAGCATTGGATTTGTAACAGTACATCACGCAACTCACTTGACGACCAAATCATCGAGGTGTGACAGTCAATACCTGGGATCCCTGTGTCGTCTCCAAGCCAGACTGATTGCTTTTCCCGGATATAAACACAAGTCGACGAACTAAAAAATCATTGCCGAAAATGCTGGCTGAAATCGTTGTTTTTCTTGCTTTCCTGGTGGAAAA